CTCAGAGTTTCTCTGTGGTTTTGGAGCCTGTCCTGGAACTCGCTCTGGAGACCAGGCTGGCCTTGAACTCACAGAGATCCTCCTGCCTCTGCCTCCCGAGTGCTGGGATTAAAGGTGTGCGCCACCACCACCTAGTTAATAAATCTCTTATATTTTAATTGAAAATAAGGGCCCAAGGTGGCAAAGGTAATTGAATCCATAGGAAATTGTATCAGATACTTAGGAATTTTAAAAACATTTTAAGAATTGCCAGTTGGACAGAGAAAATGTTTTAAGAGTCTGTAACGATAAGTCTTTCTGCCAAAGCCACCGAGCCCACTGCCACGTGGGCACTTTCCACCACACTGCCAAGTTCTGCTCGCCACCACGTTATGGTCCCAAGTAAGACACAGAGACTTATATTAGGTACAAAGCCGCTTGGCCAATGACTAGGATTTCTCATCTGCTAGCTCAGTCTTAATTATCATAAATCTATATAATTTATAAGACTTATCTTATAGAGGATGCCTTCCGCTGGTGTCCTCTCTTGCCAGCGGATCACATGGCAACTCCATAGGAGGAGGAGGAAGAGATAAGGAAACTACTTCCTTCTTGCCCTTGCTTATATATGAGTCTCCTTGCTATGTCACTTCCTGCCTGGATCACCACTTCTTTACTACATTTCCCAGAATCCTCCTTGACTCCTTGTCCCATCTAACTTGCTGCCTCATTGGCCAAACAATACTTTATTTATCATCCAATAAGACAAACACATACACAGAAGCACTTCCCCCTTCAAGTCAATTCAGCTTCAGTAAATGTCCTGAATATTTTTCCTTGTAAGTCCTGAAGGAATGCTAAGACTTCATGCTCTTTCATTTTTGATTATCTGAGTAAAGGCCAACATTTCAATCAAAACACATCTAAATGGTTTACTTCCTTTTCTGACAGTTTGAAATTAAAACATGATGGCATCATTTCTCCATTCCCTTTCCTCTCTTGAAGTACCCGATACTCTCCCTTGCTCCTTCTGTTACACACACACACACACACACACACACACACACACACACACACCTCAATATAAAAACACAGCCTGCTCAGCCTGTATCATGTTATCAGATGTGTAAATTCTTACTCTTTCATCCTGGCCTCTCTCTGTCTCATCACTGTCTCTGTCTGCCTGTGCTAGCCGATTGCCGTGGTGGCTCTTCTTACAATTCTAAAATGCAGTGACAAGGGATTGAGGGTTTATTAGCGAGTTTCCTGTTCAAATGCATTCATTACACAGTGCAGTCCTCTTCACAGTGCAGTCCTCTTCACAGTGCAGTCCTCTACACAGTGCAGTGCTCCTCACAGTGCAGTCCTCTTCACAGTGCAGTCCTCTACACAGTGCAGTGCTCCTCACAGTGCAGTGCTCCTCACAGTGCAATCCTCATCACAGTGCAGTGCTCCTCACAGTGCAGTCCTCCTCACAGTGCAGTCCTCTTCACAGTGCAGTCCTCCTCGCAGTGCAGTGCTCCTCACAGTGAAGTGCTCCTCACAGTGCAGTCCTCCTTACAGTGCAGTCCTCTACACAGTGCAGTCCTCTTCACAGTGCAGTCCTCTTCTTAGTGCAGTGCTCCTCACAGTGCAGTCCTCTACACAGTGCAGTGCTCCTCACAGTGCAGTCCTCTACACAGTGCAGTGCTCCTCACAGTGCAGTGCTCCTCAAAGTGCAGTGCTCCTCAAAGTGCAGTGCTCCTCACAGGACTTGTATTAATCCAGAAAATTACAAGTGAAAACATAGGAACTATTTTAAACAGTGACTAAAATTGTAAACTTCTCACAAATGGAACTGGAATGGATTATTGAATCACCTTTTAAACCACAGTTGAATTATTTTCCTGAAGACTTAAATTTATAAGTGAAGTCTTCTTGTTTATGTTGTGTACATTTTAATAAAACGGTGACTACCCCTTTAAAAACAATGTTTTTCTACCTATCATAAAATGAAGTAAGTAAATTAGGATTTCTAGGAAAAATGTTATATTGGAGTAGAAACCACAGCTGGAGAACTCCAATTAAACACTGAAACATGCTAACCCTTGCGACAGTTACTGTTTCCTACTTTCAGTGTTGCTCTTGGGGTCCTGCATGCACTCCTGTTGTAAACGGACGTCCACTCCAGTGCAGCTAGAAACGCTGGGCTTTCCTGTCTGCAGCCCTGGGGTGACGCCTGTGGGGCTGTGTCCTTCCCCCAGTGCTGCTGGGACTTTCAACCGCTAGGCCTTCACGGATCACTTCTATTCTTTGCTGGCGCTGGGCACAGAAAGTACAGTTTGACTGTGTGTTACAAAATCTGAAACATGGTAGCTTTCCATTAGTGCGACAGTGGTTTGTTTGTTTTTGTTTTTGTTTGTTTTTTTAAGGAAAATTCTATCTAATACTGTAGTCATTGTTTTCTTTCACTTATTAACCTACTTCCACTCAGTCTATGATGATTTTGTTTTTCATATTATTTGTAGTAATAAAGATGTCTGGAAAAATATTAAAATTCCCTATAATTATCAAAGAATTTTCACTAAGGAAAGAAAAATCTTTATGAGGTATTTTTCCTGAGGTGAGGATATTTGTTCTATAAGTAAACTGTGAGCCATGAGATATGGCAGTATGTTTTCTTGTTGTTGTTGTTGCTTGTTTGGTTTTTTATTTTTTCAACCTTTTTTATTTGAATTAGAAACCGGATTGTTTTACATGACAATCCCAGTTCCCTTCTCCCACCCGTCCTCCCCTACCCCCCCAACTAAAACCTTATCTGTCACATATCCTTTCTGCTCCCCCTGGATGGTGCGGCCTTCCATAGGGGGTCATCAGAGTATTTTGTATCCTTTGGGACAGAGCCTAGGCCCACCCGTGTGTCTTGGCTCAGGGAGTATCCCTCTATGTGGAATGGGCTCCCAAATCCACACCTTTGTTTGGGCAGAGTACTGGGCTTCTACAGGAGGTCCCGTAGATTTCTGAGGTTTCCTCACAGAAACCCATGTGAACATGGGCAGTATGTTTGAATTAATATTCTGTCCCTCACCTGGAATAGTCTATCAATTTATTTTAAAAATACAGAATCAGGGGGATGGCTAGGGGCAGGTGGGATGTTGGGGGAGGGGCGGGAGAGGGAGAAGGGATTGACATCTGAAACAAGCTTGCTCCTAATTTGAACTAATAAAATAAAAAAATACAGAATCAAAAAAATCAAACTTTATGATGTAACATGCTATCTATCTATCTATATGAGATATGCATGCAGTGGATATATATTATATACACACAAACTTAATTTCTTATCTAGGTACGAGCAGATGAAATTTTTGACAACTGAATGGAAGCCGGCTTCCTATTGTGACCACTGTTAGATACTTTACTAAGTTTTGCCGCCACATGCTATGCGGGAGAAATGTTTATTATTAGTGTAGGTTCACGATAAATCTTTGAAATCTTGAAGTGTAAGAAGGGGCGAATAGCTGTGCGGCCTTTTGTTTTTACCGGCTGTGGCAACAGGCAAGACAGGAGGCCTTGCACTAGGAACCGGTTGTAAACTATCGGCCACATTTATTTTCAAAAACAGAATTTCAGAAGGATAGAATTATGAATTTTATAATTAAATTCATTTGATTCATCTCTTTAAATGTAACCACATATCGTGTATGAATTTTGGGTTGTGAGCCTAGCCTTTAACAGCTGAGCTATCCCTCCAGCCCTGAATTTATACTCAATCGCGGGTGTTACGGCGTTTTGGCTGTGAGGCTGTCCTCTGAGCTGAGCCGTCTCTCTGCCCTTCTCTTCTTCTGGATGTCGTTATGGAAGAGCACTGAACTTCACATGGAAAATCAGCCCCATTGATTCAATCATAATAGTTCTTGAAGTGATTTTACTTCTGTTTTATTTTATGACTTTAAAGAATTATGCCCAGATATAAAATAATATAGGATGAATCCAGCACTCTGCTCCTAATAGTGTTTGTTCTTCCAAAACTGAATGACATGTAATTCATGAGACTGAGGATACTGTCTCCTTGTTTTCTTCCTTTTCTCTATTTGCCCATTTTTCCATTTCCAAACATCAGAGTGTTTTTAGGTAAATGTGAATGCTCATGACTTCAGTGCTTGCTTTCTCTGTGGTCTATAAACTCTTCCTTCGCTGTGGCTGTGGCTGCAGTCGGGCCAGGCCCCAACAGTCTGAAGTGGATTTGGGCACATTTGTTACTTTTGAGTTCTAGATCCAAAGTGATGTTTTTAGGTTTGTCTTCCAACAGAATGATACCCATTTATTGACCACACTAGGGTATGTAAGCACTACGGTAGGCTCCAAGAGCCTAGTTTCTGAAATTACTGCTCATATAGGTGTAAGTATTCTTGCTTCTTCTACAAGAATTCAATTTTAAAGGTTGGAGAGCTCACCAGTTCTCTGCAGAGTGATTTCTGTTCGGAGGGCACGTTTAAATATGGATGCACACTTCCAAGCTGCCCTATTTTCCTGGAGCCCCAGTTTCATTCTTGTGTTGAAAACATTCAAGCTGTCAGTCAGTATATATACTATGGTAATGCTATTGGCATTGTTATACCCCCCTCTGTTTGCTGATAAACACCCTGCATAACCCTCTCTCTCTCCTCTGGAAAACACTAGGAAACACGGCTGGATGTCTTTAAACTAGAACAGACCATACAGTCACAGGTCACATGCTATCTTTATTTCGGAAAACAGGTGGCTGGGGTTGCAATGACCATAACTGAGCAGCTCAGTTATAATTCAGTTATGGGATTGCTAACAGACTCAGATTTGGGATGGTTAGAACTTCTTAAGTCTAGTCAGAATTTACTCAGGATGTGTTGGGAAAAAAATCTTTTTTTTTTGTTTGTTTTGTTTTTTTTGAATACATAGTAACTTTAAGCAATTTTTTTTTTCAAAATCAGTTTGATGCATCATGAGCAAATAGCAGAAGGGCATTAAAGGTCAACTGAGCTGCTTTCTGACTGACATTTCAGGGGCAGAGAAGCACCAGATACACAGCCATATCTCAGATGCAGATCAACAGAACAGCGGCCTCTCCCAGAGCGGACCACCGCCCGCTCCAGATCCTCGGAGCGCGCTGACACAGACCTCATGAGGTCCATGCCTTCATTAATGACCGGAAGATCAGCCCCTCCCTCACCTGCCTTATCGAGGTGAAAGATAACTCGATCAGACTAACTCCCCCCGCCCGTCTCCCCCACCACCCCACCATTTTATTTCCCTCCCGCTCAGTGGTCTCCTCTGTCATTTTTTTTTTTTTTTGGCCGATCACCCCCAGCACAAGTCAATACTAACCCTGTCCGTGTCCACACACTATTTATATCCGGTGGATATGATAGTGTGTCGTCCCATTGCAATTTGTTTCTGAACTGTCCTGATTGCATTTGTTGTGCGGTTTCTCGTGACTAACCACGAGTCCCGGGCAAACCCTGTCATAACCATCACGTTCTTCCACAGAGTGAGAAATTGCTGTGTTCGTTAGTCACGACCTCCTTTATAACAATCATCAACACAGTAAATAAAATTTGTTCCTTTAGTTTCAATGGGCATTAGAGTCAGATTCCAGAATTTTCCTCAGCTGAATTTTGAGTTGCTTGCGATTTTTTTTTTTTTTTTTTTTAGATTTTCAGGAAGTTTTTTTTTTAAAAAAAAAAAAAAAAAAAAGGATGTTTAGTATAAACTTAAGTAAAAATCTGATCGGGTCAAAGGAGGAAGGTTAGTTTTAAGAATTTAGATAATGGTAGAAAACGCATAAACTTTTATTTTGTTTTAAGTTGTAGGATTTTTCTACTTGCTTGCATATGACTAGCTCAGTAGTACATGTTACTGACTTCATGGATTTTACTATAGGCTCTATGTGCATGTATGTGTGTATGTACACATATTACACCAAAACATACACATTTTTTGGTGTTTATGTAACTGTTCAGATGTCCACATTTTGTCCTGTTCTCTTCTAACCAGCAGCAAACACCTTTAAAAATCACCCCACCACAGCCGTTACGTAAAACAGCTAATGTACTGAACGTACTTAACACTGACTGAACACGTGTCAATGGTCCATCTCGTAGGTCTCACCCTCGTACCGGGTCTGTCCAGACAAGTCCATCAAGCACCCCAGGAACGGGAAGAAGGGGAAGGCAGCTGCCACAGCTTCCCCCAAAGGGAACACTGGAGAGAAGTAAGTTTTCAGTTTTCTAATTATGCCCTGTAGGAAATCCACGCGGAAGTTGAGGCGAATCAAGATTTCCTACCGTCTTTGCGTTGTTATCTTTCCGTATCTAGTTACAGACATGGCTTCCTTTGACAAGCTCTATTTGTGAATATAATAAATATTGCATGTAAAAATTATACTCGGAGATAAAAAGAAGCACCCGTTACTCATTTTACATTTCAAATTTAAGTAAGTGTGTTTAAAAGTAGTTCTACGTTAACAGCTGGATTATAATGTCTTTGCTATACCCAGGACTGGGTATATGTTGGTGATTACACAATGTTTATTAGTGATTAGCTAGATCGGTGTTCACACACTGCAGAGGACGGGTTAGCAGATGCACAGCAATGCGATCCTTCTCAAACTGGAATGCAGCAACAGGTAACCTTGAGTACGCAGGAAAAGTTGCATGCTGTACTGATGCTTCTGATAACTGTAGATTTGTTGGGGGAAATGCTGACACACTTGAGCACACTTCTCAAGCAGCTATACCAAGCATAGAGAACAGGACAGTATAATTTTAACATCTTTTAAACCACAGTCCCTCTGTTTAGTAACTTTTTAAAAATCCGAATCACCATTTAACTTTTCTGTAGTAGGCAATATATTCTATACCTTGGAAATATTCTGTTGTCTTTAACCCCTAT